TGTTGTTGTTGTTGTTGTTGTTGTTGTTGTTGTTGTTGTTGTTGTTGTTGTTGTTGTCGTTGTTGTTGTCGTTGTTGTTGTTGTTGTTGCGGCTGCTGTTGTGGTTGTTGTTGGTGTTGTAATGTTGCTTGTGTTACTGTTGTTGTTGCTGGCATTGTGATTTACATCATTTACGTGCTCTGGTCACGCGTCAATTTATGCGTCACCAGCATGCAATGGCGTCGTTAGTGACACCCTGTGCTGCCATCTATACAGGATCTGCAGTTCCACATGCAGGAGCAGCAGTCGGTACTTGACAAGCTGCAGATAGATGTCAGCACCGTACGCAGCCTCGTGGAACACAGCCGGCCGCGGCAGACGCAGCACCCAGACCTCGACAAGCTTGAGATGGGCGCCGAGAATCTGCAGCAGCGATGGCACGTTGCCCAGGTTCAGACTGCCGACAGGTGAGGGGAAAGTCGCGGGTGGCAGTCTAGACTGGACGAAGGTCGAGGTGGAAGTAAGATGGGGGAATGTTTGTTAATTAATGTATATGTAATTATATAAAAAAATTAATTAATGTAACAACGCTGCGATATAATTCTTGACATGATTTGCTTTTTTGGGTTTAGTTTTTTTTATGATTTGTCTGCTCTGATGGTTTTTGATTGGTTGCTTGTTTCTGTCACATGTCTGCTGGTCGTTCTTTCATTGGCTGCTTTCTACTGCATTTGATTGACCGTGTATTTGCACAGCCTGTGATTGGCTATGATTTGCGCCAACACCGAAGCATTGGCCGTTACGCGCAATCGGCTGTGCACAATGTAAGCGCGTGATTGGCCGCGCACGACGTAAGCTTACACGTGATTGGCCGCGCACGACGTAAGCATGTGATTGGCCGTGCACGACGTAAGCGCGTGATTGGCCACGCACGACGTAAGCGTGTGATTGGCCGCGCACGACGTAAGCTTGCACGTGATTGGCCGTGCACGACGTAAGCATGTGATTGGCCGTGCACGACGTAAACACGCAAATGGCCACGCACGACGTGAGCGTGTGATTGGCCGCGCATGACGTGAGCGTGTGATTGGCCGCGCACGACGTAAGCGCGCGATTGGCCGCGCACCACCTAAGCTTACGTCTGATTGGTTGCATTGCAGGCGGGCGTGCGTGGAGAAGGCGAGCGACGACCTACTTGTCTACCAGGGGGAGCTGCCGATCGAGCGTGAGTGGCTGCGGGTGATGGGTCAGCGCGTGGAGGAGCTACCCCGCATCTCTCACCAGCCAGAGGAAGCGCGAACACAGGTGCAGCAGGCACTGGTACGTCAACCCCACACACGCGTCACAAGGTGACGGTGACATGTGGTGACAGTGGTGGCAGGGTGACAGTGACGCGGTGACGGTGGTGACACGGTGATGGTGACACGGTGACAGTGGTGGCACGGTGATGGTGACACGGTGACAGTGGTGGCACGGTGACGAGGTGACACGGTGATGGTGGTGACGTGGTGACTTGGTGACGGGATAACGAAGCGCGCACGCATGCAGGTGCAGCAGGCACTGGTACGTCAACCCCACACATACGTCACACGCTGACGGTGACACGGTGACGGTGTGACAATGACGGTGAGGGCAGTGATGGGATAACGAAGCGCGCATGCAGGTGCAGCAGGCACTGGTACGTCAACCCCACATGCGTCACACGGTGACGGTGACACGGTGACGGTGTGACAATGACGGTGAGGGCAGTGACGGGATAACGAAGCGCGCATGCAGGTGCAGCAGGCACTGGCACGTCAACCCCACACATACGTCACACGCTGACGGTGACACGGTGACGGTGTGACAATGACGGGATAACGAAGCACGCATGCAGGTGCAGCAGGCACTGGTACGTCAACCCCACATGCGTCACACGCTGACGGTGACACGGTGACGGTGTGACAATGACGGGATAACGAAGCACGCATGCAGGTGCAGCAGGCACTGGTACGTCAACCCCACACACGCGTCACAAGGTGACGGTGACATGTGGTGACAGTGGTGGCAGGGTGACAGTGACGCGGTGACGGTGGTGACACGGTGATGGTGATGCGGTGACGGTGGTGACACGGTGAGGGTGATGCGGTGACGGTGGTGACACGGTCACGAGGTGATGCGGTGATGGTGACGTGGTGACA